GCTTATGTGGTGCTGAGGAATTGAACCCAGGGCCTCAGGCATGCAAGGCAAGCGTTCTACCACTGAGCCACCTTCCCAGCCCCATGAGTAGCTGGGTTTACAGACATGCACCATCATACATGTGGATTTTCTAATATTTTTCCCAGGCTGGCCTCAAACTCAAAAACTTCCTACTATCTGCCTCTTGAATAGCTGGGATTATAGGTGTGCACACTCTTTTTTTAATGTTTTTATTGTGAAAGTACTGTACAGAGGGGTTACAGTTACATGAGCAAGGTAATGTGCACACTTCTTCTTAATGTGTGTTGTGCACGCTTTTCTCCCTTTGCCTATTTTGAGCTGACCTGCCTCTGAGATTGAATTCCAATTCAACAATTTGCCTGTGGTGTGGCCTTAGACAAGTTACTTCATCTCACTAAGCTCAATTTTCTTAATTGGAAAATGAGGATAATAATAGTGTTTATTTCATGGGGCTATTTTGAGGCATGAGTCAGAATGTGTAAGATATTAGAATAGTTGCATAAAGAAATTACTCAACTTATACAATATGTAATATATATAATATATACATTATAATATAGTATATATTATATAAGCATATAATATATAGACATAACATAAATAATGTATATTATATAAGTATAATATATAAACATATAAATATATAAGTAATATATTGTATAAATAATAAATATTATATAACTACATATATAAATATATCTATAGTTATTATTAACTCACTGCTCCGATGAAAAGGAGGAGAGAGAGGACTAAGGAAGTACGATCTTCTTGAGGTCACTGCTCTTACCTGAGAGACAGAGATGCTAAGCAGCTCTCCTTGAAGAGAAGTAACATGCGAGATGGATTTCAGATTTTCCAGGAGTAGCTGTTGGCAGGCAACCATGTGATACCGAAGAATCTGGGGTATCACTCCCTGTTGGTTCCAGTCCGCGAGCTGTAATACATATAGGGGTTTGGGGGCAGGTGCTTTTTGCTCCAATCTTCTCTCCTCTCCTCCCCTCCATTTTCTCTCTGCTCTCTTCCCAGTCAGGTTCCAGGAGGTGGGCATCAGGCCTGGCTTGTATCAGGGGCTCAGGGAGAAGCCATTCAGGCAAAGGGTCAGGTGGTCCTGGTTCCTTGAGTTTCCGTTGTCGGATCTCAGTGCGGAAGAGATGTGGTTCCTCTGATCCAGCTCCATGACAGTGGTCCAGGGACCCCCCCCCCCAGCCCTACACCAGCTTCCTTAAAGGAAGACTTGTCTTGAGAATCATGTAGCAAAAGACTGTATAGCATGTCTCCTTCTTGGATGAGGTGACAGGATCACTTGACGTATCTCCACTTGGAATCCCCAGCACAAACACTATTGATCATAAAGTCAGTGTAATAGAAACCCACAAACTTCTCAGATCCAGGATGGCTCCTTTGTAGCTTTAAAGCCATTACCCAGTGTCAATGATTTTGGGGTTTCTGCTTTGCTGGTGTGCAAACTGTACTTGTGAGGGGCAGTATGTGCAGTAGGTAAGAACAAACCCTTGCTAAGACACCTGTTGTCCTGTAACTTTGGGAAGTTGTTTCCTCCACTGTCCTCCACTGTGGAATGGGGGTAATAGTAGCCCTCAACTCACAGATTTGATGTGAGGACTGAATGATTCATCTAGGCCAGGCCCCCAGAATTGTGCCTGGCACACCCACTAAATGTTAGCAATCATGATTATTTATGCTAATGAAGCAGGTGAACAGTAAAGGTTCTGCCACGTCTGGCAAGACAAGAGCCTATTTGCCATCCATCTATCATCCATCCATCCATCCATCCATTATCTATTTTTTTTTCTTGTTTGGTCTATGGGAAGTTTGGATTGCTTAAGACTTGCTGATCTTTTCCAATTTCCTGCTATGTTTAAGGCATCCCCTTTAGAAGTTCTCCAGTCAGTGTTAAGTCCACCAAATGTTGCCCTTGATAGAGGTCCCTGTGCTGACAGGCAGCTGCTTCTATCATTGCTCATCCCATATCTTCTATCCAAAATCATCATCATTACTGGTTCCAGGGTGAGATTCCCAAGCTTTCCTATATGTTCCCAGCCTTATGCTTACCCGGGGCTCCTCACTGAAGGAATAAGATGAAGGTGCAAAAACTGTGAAGGGACCCGGCCCAGCCAGTTCTCGGACAGCATGCACCTGCATTGGGGTGTGGGGGAGGGGAGGGGAGCCACACATCACTCATTGCACAGAGAGGTGGGGCAGAGAATTCTTTTCCTTGTACAGACATAGGCAGGGCTCAGAGGCATGTCAGTCAGCACAAAGAGGATGAGGAGGCCTGGGTCTGTCTTGGATCCAAATTAAACTCAAATCCTCTGCCATGAAAATCATATTTGTTATTTCTCAGTTACAAAACTAACACTCATTTGTTGCATTAAAATTTGGAAAGTAACAACACAAAAATGAAAATTATGAGTAATCCTATCATCCAGCCAGCCAGAGGTGGCTATTATCTTTAAATAAATAAATATTAAATATATAGATAATTTATATATACACAAAGAAACTTTCATTGCCCCAGGCAGACAAGAAACATTACATATGTGTAATCTATTTCTATATATTTCTATACAGTTTATATATATATATATATATATATATATATATATATATATATATATATTTGGTTCAGGTACTGTGACTTGAACTGAGGGTCTTGTCTGCTTTGGCTTTCTTGTTCAAAGCTGGTGCCTTGCCGCTTGAGCCATGCCTCCATGTTTGGCTTTTTGTTGCTTAACTGGAGATAAGAGTCTCATGGATTTGTCTTTCTAGGCTGGTTTTGAAACACAGTCCTCAGATCTCAGCTTTCTGAGTAGCTAAGATTACAAGCATGAGTCACTAGTGCCTAGCTTCTTCATTTTTTATACAACTGGGACAATCGTACAAACAGAAAAAATGAAGATGGTTCACTTAACTGTTACCACTGACGAGATGTTAAGACCATATGGTTACTATGGTTACCTCTTCTAGCTCTTTATGATTTTATCCTTTAAATTTTTAATAGTTTATTCATCAACACATCTGAGATTTATCTGGATATATGAAGTACAGAAAATCATAATTTGTGTGTTTCGACTCAAATGTTAACCAGTTGCCCCAGTGATGTTTCTTGTCTTCCTGGGTGATAAGTTTCTCTGCATCTAGCCATTTATCACTACATAGTGGGATGGGTTCTGAGACATGTGTTGTTAGGTGATTTTTGTCATTGTGTGAACATCATAGTGTGAACTTACACAGGAGGGAGAGGTCCAGCCTACTGCTTATGTGAACTATATGGTCTAGCCTCTGGCTTCCAGGCTACAAACTTGAAGAGCTGTTGACTGTAGGCAACTGTCATACAATGGTTAATATTTATGAATCCTGTTATATTGGAACATAGAGGAAGTCTGGTAAAATGTAATAAAAATATTAAGAAATGGTCTATTGAATAGACTTCAAGCTCCATAACTGGAGCTTGAAGGGTCAGAAGTTGCTCTGGGTGAGTAGGGAGAGTTGGGAGGGAATGTGACATAGAATTTACAAACCTTAGGCTACACTAAATTGAAAAAAAACAAAAACCCCTTTTCCTCAATAATAACCTTAGCTTTACTTTTAACTTTATACACTTTAACCTTCTTAAATTTTTGTTTCTTTTTATAATAACGTTTAGCTTACAATATAAACATGTGCAGCTCTAAGTTTTTTTTTTTTTTTGCTGGTCGTGGGGTATGAACTCTGGGCCTGGGTGCTGTCCCTCAGCTCTTCAGCTCAAGGCTAGCACTTTACCACTTGAGCCACAGTGCCACTTCCAGCTTTTTCTGCTTATGTGGTGCTGAAGAATTGAACCCAGGGCTTCATGCATGTGAGGCAAGCACTCTACCACTGAGCCACCTTCCCAGCCCCTTATATTGTTCTTTTGCAGGGAGAAATGGAGTTTGAACTCAGGGCCTCATGTTCTCTAGGCTGGTAGTGCTCTGCCCTTTTTATCTTAGTTAATTCTTGTGCTTTTGCCTGGCCTTTTTTAACTTCTTAAGTATTTTTGTCAAAAAAAAGGCACCAACATGACATTAGCATGGGTCTGCCCTCTTCTGTGTCTGGCCAAGACCCGACTTACAGCGCGGCAGACCCACACCTCCTTACCTGCAACTGGAAGAAATACTGGGATGTTTTCCAGTCCTTGGGAAGTTCCTGTAAACAAGGCAGTAGTTTTGCTTGAGCTGGTGCATGGCCTGGCAGACAGTGCAGGGACAGGCAGAACAATTCTAGCGCTGTCAGTGTCTGCTGTCCCGTCCTGTGCACTGGCATTGTGCGGCCACGGCTCCCTGATGGTGGTAGCTCCCCCCTCCCCCGATCCCGGGCTCTGGACTGACCGCTGATGGTCAGCATGGCCACACACACCCTGGCACCCCCATCTGCTTTATCAAAGGGAGGCTCAGCCGTTTCCAAAGCACCTGAGATTTAGGGCCATTGCAGAATGATGCTCAACTATGGACAAAACTATTTTGACTATAGTAAATGTTTTCAAACATCAGTTATAGGGTTTCGGCAAACTTGGTTCCTTATTTGTGGGCATATTTGATCAGCCAGATGTTCTGTCTAGTCCCTCTTTAAACCAACAACCATTTACTTTATAATAGGAAAATACCTGCAAGCATCTTACCACTACTATGTCCAGTATAGATAGGTCCCTGGGCAGCCACATAACATCCACTTACCCACCTCCCCACCACACCAGACACACACATATAACCACATTATGCACATACATCCCCCACCTCCATATCACAAACATACACATGAAGTCACACGGACAGCCACACACCACACACATCAAATACATGAACATATCACACACATCAAACACATGTATACATCATGCACGTATCTCTAACATGCAGCATATACACGTCATACACAGGCACACAATACACATGCATTACACACAAACATACATACCCCTATACCTCACACATGCCACACACACAACTATACACCCACTAAAACATACCATATACATAGCACACATCATATGCACACACACGCACACAACACTCACATTTCCCCATGTATAACATGTACATACACCAGACCACATGCTACACACATCTCTAACACATGCCACACGCATATACCATGCCACACACATCACACACACACCACACCTTGCACACCATGAACAGACAAAACCACATATACATATCATAAACCACACAACTAATACACATAAACATAATCCCCACATGCAATTACATATCACATACAAACTATGCACATCCCTCACACACTATACATGGATCACAAACACACATCACACATACACATCACATGCCTACACATATCACACACATCATAACATATATTCCTCAGCAATCCAAGCCGTAGCAATGCTTTGGTGCTGTTGCGTGCTCTGATCCTTTCTGTACCTCATTGTATTTCACTCTTAGGACAACCTAGCAGGGTGCCCACCATTATTTTCACTCACAGATTCAAAAAGAAACTCATAGCTGGGTGCTAGTGGCTCACACCTGTAATCCTAGCTACTAGGCTGAGATCTGAGGATTGTGGTTCAAAGCCAGCCTGGGCAGGGAAGTCCGTGAGACTTTTATCTCCAATTAACCACCAGAAAACCAGACATGTTACTGTGGCTCAAGAGGTACAGCACTTGCCTTGATCTGAAGAGGTCAGAGACAGTGCCCAGGCTCAGAGTTCAAGTCTCATGACTGACAAAAAAAAAAAAAAAGAAAAAAAGAAAAAAAAGAGACTCAAGCCGGGCGCTGGTGGCTCACGCCTGTAATCCTAGCTACTCAGGAGGCTGAGATCTGAGGATCACGGTTCAAAGCCAGCCGAGGCAGGAAAGTCCGTGAGACTCTTACCTCCAATAAACCACTAGAAAACTGGAAGTGGCGCTGTGGCTCAAGTGGTAGAGTGCTCACCTTGAGCTGAAGAACACAGGGACAGCAGCCAAGCCCAGAGTTCAAGCCCCACAACCAACAACAACAACAACAACAAAAAAGACAGACTCAGGATACTGAAATCTGAGGATCCAGTTCAAAGCCAGCCTGGGCAGGAAAGCTGGTAAGCCTCTCAGCTCCAGTTAACCACCAGAAAACTGGAAGAGGTACAGCATGTGGCTCAAAGTGTCAGACGGCTAGCCTTGAGCAAAAAAGCTCAAGGACAGAGCCCAGATCCTGAGTTCAAGCCCCGGGACTGGCAAAAACACCCCCTTTCCCGCCAAACAAAAACCCCTCCAATAACAGCAGTAAAATATACTCCTAGCATCTTTAGTGAGTTTTGCATTTGCCAAGCCCTTGCATGCCACGGTCGCGTTACCTTGTAGATGCTGCCTCTGCAGGTGATTCCATCCCCGGTGTAGTTCATCTTGCAGGTACACGTCCTCTCATCTCCCCCAGTGTGGTTACACACAGCAAATGGGCTGCAGCCACCATTGTTCTGGGAAAATGGCCAAGGGGTTGGGGACAGGGATCAGTCAGACCAGTTTTTGTGACAGCTTTGCCAAGATGTGTCAAATCATTTGTATTGGAACTTATTATTATTTTTCTTTTGAGGGGTAGGTGCAGAGTGCTTGCCTAGAACATACAAATCCCTGGGTCCCTTCCCAAGTGCAGTGGGGAAGGGAGGGAAAGAGCGGTGAGGGAGGGAAGATGAGAGGGAGAAAAGGAGGGAGGGAAGGAGGAGAGAGAAAGGGAGAGGAGGAGGTTCATGGAGAAAGATAGGCTACCAAGATGGATCCTTTCTTGTCCCACCTTGCTGATGACCTCATTTCAACCCAGAGGCCTGGACATTTTGGTTATCTCTCACCCCATTGACACTACCCCCAAGTTGTTCTGGATGCCCACCTTCTGATGACGTGGTCACTCTTTCTTGTGCTCACAGAGCCTTGTCTGAGCTTTCTGAAACTCACCCTTCTTACTAAGGTAGGTATGCAGGGGGCGGGGAGGGGAGGGGAGGGTATCTGTCTGGTATCTGTCTGCCTCCTGCAAGCATGGCTCACCCAGCCCCCAACTGAGCTTCCACACTGCAGTGTTTACATTCCTGCCATGTGATGCCATTTCCCAGTCACTGATGAGTTCCCAGAGCCCAGGACACTGCCTGGTAGGTTGTATGTGTCCACTGACTTGGTGTGGGTGACAATATGGCTTTCCCCCTAGCTTTACAGAAATGGTTTCTGTATTAAGGAAAAAAAAAACCTAACAACTTATTCAGAATAGACAGACACAGATACTGTCCAGCTAATTAATGGTTAAAAAAAAGCTGATGCTTCAGGCTATGATACATTAGAGACGTGGCTTCTCCGTCCACAACCTCTCAAGGAAAGAGGTCTCAAGAAGCAAACCATCCAAAGCCTTTAAGTCATATAAATCAGGGCTGGGAGCAAGCTAGGTTGTTGTCTGGCTTGATCACATATCCATTGCTTTACATTCTTATTGTTAAATGCGTTGAGGCTGGGCATGGCGATGCTCTTTTGTCCCCTCCGAATTCTGGTTTCTTTGCTTGGGCTCACAGAGCCCAAGATAAACATGTTGATTATTTGGCGCCTCATTGCTCTTTAGTGAGAAAGACAAGAGGAAGCGTTCAAGACGTATGTCTCATGCCCCTTTCTAAAGGTGGAGTAGCAGAGGCTGCCCTGTTTCTTTCCAACATGACAGTGGGCCACGAGAGAGAAATGAATCTCCTGGCCCAGAAGCTGCTTCAAGACATCTAGGGGTGGGGGGTGATCCCCTCACTGAAGCACCCCCTGGAGAGATGGGGGTAGGGGAGGGGTGGCTCTGAAGCCAGCCTGGGCATACTCACGAATAAGCAGACATTAATGTGTGTGCAGATCTTCCCGTCTCCCGTGTACTTTGGCAAGCAGTTACAGACAGCCTGTCCAGTAGTAGAAGCACAGGGATCATTTTACAGATGGGGTCACACTGGCTTAGTGGGCTGGCTGTGAGACTCAAGTTCTGTCAGGTTAATAGCAATGTCAGAGGAGACTGCATTGGCTCTTGGCCCTATCTAGACAGATAGGACAATCAGTTTTCTAATTCATACAGAATAGCCTCCCAGGTGGCAGCAGACCTACTAGAACTTGAACTCATCAGTGGGGCCATTCAGGGCCACAGAAGCAGATTTCCACTCATCCTCCTTCTTTATCTCTTCATTGTGGGCTTGAGTACCAGAGCTCTTATGGCTTTGCCCCACTCCAGGGGGTTACAGAAACATCTATCTATCTGTCTGTTTGTGATTTTCCCTGTGTGCACATGTGTACCTACATGGGCACAGACACACAATTCTTTAACACAAGCATTTCCCCCCTTACTTTTGGGTATTGTGAGCACTTGCTTGATCTTCCCAGAAAAGGACGTGACACCAAACCTCAACCATCTCCACAGGAGATGACTTCGCCACCCAATTTCAGCTGCATGGACGTTCTTGGCTGGCTGTTTTGTGTGTTCTCTAAGGGACCGAGCCCAGGGGAGGCAGAGTATAGGATTTTGGACACCTGTGTCTTTTCACCCCATCACCCTCATCCTCTGATGCTGGGGTCCTTTTATTTTTGCCATCTCCTCAAACTGGCTGTCCTGAAGGGCACTACATGACTCTGTTTGGTATGATTGGCAGAGGCCCGAAATAGGAGTGTCTGCTGTGATTTGCACAAGTCAGAGCCTTGAGCTAAGGAAAAGCAGGTGTGATTCTAGGCATGAGAGAACTGGAAGAAAAGAGGTCATTTCTAGGAAACTTCTAGGTGCTTCAGGGATCATCTGGTGTTCTCAGATGCCTACCTCTCCCACTGCAGGGAGGTGCCTTTCTGAGGGTCCTTTGTCCCCTCATTTGCCCTCATCCCCAAAGACTGGTCTCTTACACTTTCATCACATACTAAAGTATGTGTGGCCACAGCTGGGCAGAGGTCTGTTCTTAAGACCCAGGAGTTCCCTCCAGGACACTTAGGGAGGGGGAGCTTACCTGGTTGGGTCCCGTTTGCGTGCACTCTGCATTCTTGTCACAGCCACCATGGTTCTCTAAGCATGGGTTGATTTCTTTGAAACAAAAAGCCAACAGCTGTCACAGCATCAAACCTCGCTTCCAATCAAAGAGGGGTTCACTAGGGACCTGAGGTTACTTGGTTAGCTGGCCAACAGCAGCAGGTATTTGATACAGTGCAATTCTGTTTTCTAACAATTCAGAGGCCCAACTAACTCAATAAGGATGGTCTCTCTCTCTCTCTCTCTCACACACACACACACACACACACACACAAAATCCCAGCAGACATAGTCCATCTGCAGGCTCAAGTTGTCCCTTTGTGGAATGCACATGGGTGTTTGTAGACAGGACTTGAAGTAATGGAAGGTTGGAGTCCAATCTAAAAGTGAGTGACAGGAATGAAAATGATATCTCTACTTCTGTCTGTTTGTCTGTCTATCTGTGTGTGCATGCTTAGGATATTTTGATGAGAACCAAGACATTTCCTTGGAGTAAGGCCTCTCTGGCCACTGATGACACTAAATGCTATCCTCAGACTTAGGCTGGGTCCTGAACTGGAGGGAAAAAGCTGAAAAAATGTCCTTATTGAACAATTGACAAAATTAGAATATGAATAATACTGAGGGAAACTATTAGATCAATAATAAATTTACTAAAGTTGATAAATGTGCTATGGTCATGTGAGAAGCATCCCTTATTCTTGGGAAATGCATGCTTGATTTTTTTAGAAATAAATTGAATATGACACATACATATTTACTCCCAAATGACCAAGGGAAAATACATATAGTTAGGTTCAGCCTCCCAAATAGCTAGAATTACAGGTGTGAGCTACCAGTGTTTGACTTCACTATAATTCAAAAAAAAGTTTCCCACTTCTTTTTCCAAAATGATATTTGGACACTATACACTTTCATACTCTTATAGTCATTCATTTCCTTACATACATATAATATATATTTATAAATATATAAATATCTAATGTATATGTAAGTGAGGAAGATGGAGATATTATTCCATAAGTCAGGTTGAGTACAATGCTTCTTGGACAATGTCACCCCTTCCTTCATTCTCCCCCATTTTCCCTTCCCTTCCTTACCCACAAGTTGCATAGTTCATTTTTTACATAGTATACATGGAATACAATGACTGCATTTGTTCGTACTTTCTCCCAACATTCCTGTGTCCCCTTTTACCCCCCCATCCCATTCCCAAAATGTTTCCATTTCCTGGTATTCATTTTGATGAACAGAAATTTAATTGTTCAGAGATGTTATACCTTTGGATTGCTCCCCCAAGCCCTTATATCATTTCTATCTTGAAGGCTTCCTTGCCAATGTATGCTGAATTCTAGTTAAGAGACTCTGGTTAACAGTCTCTTGGATTTGTGTGTCTGGGCTGGCTTTGAAACGCAATTCTCGGGGCTGGGAAGGTGGCTCAGTGGTAGAGCGCTTGCCTTGCAACGCAATTCTCAGATCTCAGACTCCCAAGTAGCTAGGATTACAGGCACGAGTACCAGTATTAGACTCAGCTGTATATCTTAATAAGAACCAATACATGGCAGTCACTGTGCATGCTCTGACTCACACCATTCCCTGGGATGGATGGTCACTTACCAATGCACACGATGCCGTCACCTGTGTAGCCTGCCTTGCACACACATTCTCGGCTTCCTGGCATGGTCCTTTTGCAGAGAGCTTGGGCAGAACACCCTCCATTGCTGGTCTCACAGGCATTGATTGCTAGAGAAGGAAGGGACGAATCACAGAAGAAGAGGGAGACGGGAAAAAGAAATCAACTGATACTCTTGAACTTGGCTCAATGAGAAATGGAAGTTACTTCAGAACCTCTCCGGGAGGCACTGGAAAGGTCAATTCTGAAGAATAGAAGGCAACAAAAACACTGCACTTATTTGCCCATTTCAGCTGGGTTTTTAGTACTGCACAATTCCTGCTGCAAGGAACATGGTGAAACTGTAGATTCTTGGGCGAACCCCCCTGGTAAAATGGGCTAGGAGCAGATTGCTATAGTCCAGGACATGTGCTCAGGAAAAAACAATGATGCTGAGAGCTTCTGTTTTCCTAGCACTAAAAACTGGTGCTTTAGTTATGGAAGAATAATTGTTCAGGAAGTGGAAGTGTAGCTCAGATGGTAGAGTGCCAGCTTTGAGTGAAAAAGCTGAGTAAAAGAGCAGAGCCCTGAGTTCAAGCCCCAGTACAGAACACACCCACACCCACCCCCCCCACACCACATACACAGAGAATAATCACTCATATTTCTTAACACTTTCTAGGTATTAATGTGGGTTAGATCCTCCCACCCAATGAGGGCAGTTTACTTATCACCCCAACTTACAGATGACAATGTTCCAAAGAGCAGGCAGATGGCTTTCCTGAGGTGACACAGATCATATAAGAATTTAGATCTAAACCTGAGGCCTAATGATGAAGCTAGTGTACAAGAACTTGTTTATGTCAACAGCACTAAGTTTACATGTGAGCTAAAGAGGCTCAGAGCAGTTTAAAGACCCACAGAAAGCCTTAGGATGAGGGAGAGGAAACCCAGAGTTTAAACCATTTCCTGGTCCATTCTAGAGTCCTGATGACCGACCTAGATATGCTCTTGACCAGTCAGATCCTTACTTTGTGCTTGTGTGTGCATGTGTATATGTGCGCATGTGTGTGTGTGTGTGTGTGTGTGTGTGTGTGTATGCACGCGCATGCACATGTGCATGTGCACACAAGTACTGGGGCTTGAACTCAGAGCCTAGGCATGATCCTTTAGTTTTCTCTGTGCAAGGCTGGTGTTCAGTCTACCTCTTGAGCCACAGCTCTGCTTCCAGCTTTTTGGTGCTTAATTGGAGATAAGTCATACAGACTTTTCTGCCTGGGGTTGCCTCCTGATCCTCAGATTTTAGCCTCCCGAGTAGCTTGGATTTCAGGTGTGAGCCAATGGCACAAAATCCTTAGTTTTAAAAATCTGCCCCAGTGGGTTCTAGTTGCTCTCAAGGCTGTGAACCTCTGCTTAGAACACAATGCCATTGTCTGCTCATTCCAAAGGAACACACCCCATTCATGCACAGAGAGGTTCCTGTCCCTTTACACCACCTGCCTAGTGCAGGTCTCCATTAGTGGCTGGCACCAGCTGATTGGCTGAGGCCCTTTCAGGCTCAGCACCCACAGATGTCTGAGTCACCCTTACAAAGTCTTGGTGCCTCTTAGCAATTCCTTTTCGCTTGCCTGTGCAGATGGTGCCGTTGCCCTGGAATCCTGCTGCACATTTGCACGAGGCTGTGCCGTCCAGATTGAGAAGGCAGCTGCAAGGGAGAAAGGTGGATTGGTGATTTTGAAAAACACGAAAAACCCAACTCCCTGCTCTATTCGGTGACTGGCTGTAGCCTTTCATCCTAACTTGGGAGGAATGTTCAGAAAAGCTGTAGTCATTCATTTCACAAACTCCAGGGGGTGCACAAGTAGGGAAAAGCCCAGGAATGAAGAGGGCAGCTATTGGTCTTCAGGGAGCTGCCTATAGGCTCAGCTGAGTGGTGTGCTTAGGCCCTCCCTATTCAGCGACTCTAGAAAGCTGGTGTCTTTCATCTGAATAGAGAGGAAGGGCAGGTGGATATAGTCATTCTATTCAAAGTGCATATGTGAAAATGGAACCATAGAATTGAGGGTCTGGGTGGAATGGGGAAAGATGGGGGAAAAGGATGGAATGGGTGACATGGACCAAGTATGCATGGTATTTATAAACTAATTTGTGGAACTGGAACCCCTCTGCACAACTACTTCAAGATAATAAAAAATGAAAACAATCAGAAAGAAAATGGGTATCATTGTTATTTTCATTGAAGGATGAATAGCTGAGCCTCAGAAGGAGTAGAAAATGGGATCTGGGAAGGTGGCTCAGTGGTAAAGCGCTTGTCTTGCATGCATGAGGCCCTGGGTTCGATTCCTCAGCACCACATAAGCAAAAAGAAAAAAGCTGGAAGTGGCGCTGTGGCTGAAGTGGTAGAGCTCTAGCCTTGAGCTGAA